GGTCATCTATATCATTAATGAGGGTATTTGTTCCATCGTGCAAGATTCTCTCACGATGGGCCACAAGGTCAATGCGCATGAAATTGGGCATTTTCGGGCTTGACCGCGGTGCTGGGTGGGTTGCCTTGATTTTTTCTTCAGTTTGTTTCTGTTGTTCGTTGGGCATCGTTATGCCTTAGCCCCTCAAGACTGCCGATGAACATTGTCACCAAGATCGCTATGATCTCGATGCCATTAACAACAGACTCGCTGGTCCGGCGGGTGGTGCATATCGTCATCGTCATGGGTGACAGACAAGACAGTCGGTTCAAAACATGAACTCATGGCCTCTCCGCTTGCCAAAAAAAAAAAAAAAAAAAAAAAAAAAAAAAAAAAAAAAAAAAAAAGAAACAAGCCAAGAAGACTACCCCTCTCTGGCCGGTACAGAGAAAACAACAAAAACAGGTAAAAAAAAAACAAAGACCACCCCCCCCCTAAAAAAAAAAAAAAAAAAAAAAAAAAAAAAAAAAAAGAGCAGATCAAGGAGCACCAGCCACACCGAAACCACTTCCCCTCTGTTGTCTTCGTCAGTCTCCAGGTCCTACCTGGTTCCCAAGTGTCATGGTCAATGGGCGAGGATCCCTGCTGTTTTTGTGATTACTGGCCACAAACATTAGCATCATTCTAAGCGATTAGGTCGTGTTAGGTCTTATCCAGGTCTCTCGAGTTTCACAGCGGCGCCGAATCCTTCGATTCTTGGCAGGTTTCTAGCGTGTGGCTGTTCCTCCCCCATCCCAATAGAGTCTTTGTGATCAACGGATTCTCCCAACTGCGGCTACTTGGAACTTCTCCACGAAAGATCCGTATTTGTAAATGGAAAAATTACGAACATTGAGGGCCGCAATTGGGCGGCAACAGAGAATAGTAGCTCGATCCGCTGTGGCTCGGTTTGAACAAGAGTGTAGACTCTAAAGGCTAGTTCCCTCTCCCGCCATCTCGGTCTGTGGCGCAACTCTACGAGCACCGATGATCCCAGCTCACAGCCCAATAGTTCAAACCGGAACAGTATTGACTGATTTCCCCCTTCACCAGTTCACCACACCCATTCCCCGGTGTTGCCCCATTTCGCCGCCGCCCTCTCAGTTTAGTCTTCGCCCTGCTAATGCGGTTGGGTGGTAAGACAAGAGAAAAACCAGACCCTTATTTTGATCCGTCCACCGCGACGGGATTACCCACCCCGCACTCAGTAGGCGTCGCCGCACCGCAGAGGCAACCCGGCCGAATAATGTTCAAGGGCGAGGGTCTGATGTCATGGGGTGCCACGCTTGCCATCGCTATGCTATGACTCTGTTGCTAGGGACTTGGAGGGAATGGTCACCTTTAATCCTTTCTGCCACCGAACCAACACCGAGATGGGACTATGGTTGGGCATTCATCATGTCTGCCAAGGATTGCCGGGCGAACATATAATGCCCAGGCCTCGGAGAGAGCCCCCCGGCATGAGTTTTTGTCATTGACAGCTTTTCTCGTGTTTTGACTCCATCGTCAAAAACCAGAACTTCAGTAAAACCTAAACCCGCCTGTGTATTTTGTATTTGAGGCTTTGCCACAATATTTGAACCTCACGATACCCTCACGATACCTATTTAGTACTTCATTTTCTCATACGTGGACTCCATATACCGTTCGCAAACAATAATACCTCTTGTACCTTTACCTTACCTAAGTATCAACAAGCAGCCGCTGCATTCTCTCTATCCCACAGAGACAATAAAACCATGGCCACTTCTGACTTGGAATCCAAAATCCGCCAAGCAGCCGTCAGAAACCGCCAGCTCCTCGCCATCCTCGCAGACACAGACAACGCCATCCCCGACCTTCGTCAACAACGCCGTCTCATCACAGACCTAGACCACCAGCTTAAAGAATCCGACAGAAATATCCGTGCCCTCGACAGCCGCCGCAAAAAGGAACTCAAGGACCATGAAAAGTTTCGCGATAGCGTCATGCGCCGCTTCGTGCACAAGGCCGTCGGCAAACGCGACAAATTCGATGAGCGCGCCGCTCGCGAGGAGCGTGAATACTTTGACGTCCTGCAGGACGAACACCGCGAAAAGGAGCTCAACAAAAACGTGAAGGAGCAGTTGAGCGAGGCGCGTGAGGCAAGCAAGGCGCTTGAGGTGGAAGCCAGGCGGCATGATGAGGCGCAGTGCGAGCTGGATAGCCTCTATGATTCGATCTTTGCGGGCCCGACGCCGAGTTATCCCGAGGAGGATACCCTCGAGCAGTCGGCGGAACAGGCCCTACACGAGTACCATGATACCCGATCAAAAGTCGAAGCTGAACAGCATGCCATACGCCTTCTTACGGATGCGATGAAGAGGATGGGCGACTCGTTGCGGCACATGGACGACGCCTTGAGCCACTCGCGCATGGACATGTTTGGCGGCGGATCGATGACGGACATGATGGAGCGGAGTGCGTTGCAGCGCGCCGAGAGCGCGGCGCAGGAAGCGAGGATGTTGGTGATGCAGGCGCAAAGGATGACGCCGTACATCGGAGACCTGCCGCCGATTAACATCAACCACGGCAACCTCATGGGAGATGTGCTGTTTGACAACATCTACTCCGACATGGCGTTCCACGATGAGATCAAGAAGTCGAGAATGTCGATTGAGAAATGTGCCCAGGCTTTGAGTCGGTACCTCCACGAGACCAGGGACCGACACATGTATCTCTCGCGGGAGCAAAAGGTTCGCGGGGAGAGGTTGGAGAGCACGCGCACGGCGCTGCAGAAGGAGCGGGAGAGGTTATTCGAACAAATTACTGGGGGCAGTAGTGATATGAACTTCGGGTCTGCTTCTTCGAGTGCCCTGCCGGTTGGATTGAAGCACTGAATGGTGGGAGGATTTGTGTGAGTGTATGGCTACTCCCTGTGGCATGCATACCAGCGAATTTGGATAATGTTAGCAGCTTTAGATACCAATTTGCATGTCACAAGTTTAAGTGTCAACAAAATAGTGTTCAGTTCTTCAAGTGAATTTCATTTCGTCATAGTATATCTGTCCGGCCGTTGATAAAATACGCACACACTATCTAGTAGTCCATGCGCTCGTGGCGGCCTCGGCGCTCACTATATCAATCTGTCAGTCCCTGTTCGGTATGTACTGATTGATCTGAAGGTTTGCTTACGGGTTGTACTCGTCCATGTCACCGTATTGCTCCTGGTACAGGTGCTCGGCCTGCTTCTCAGCGTGTCTCTTGGCCTTCTCACGGTCGATGTAGTCCAGGCCCTTGGTCTCGAAGAGCTTGTCGACCTCGGCGCCGGCAATGCCAGCAATCATCTCCTTGGCGAACTGGTGCTTGACGGGCTCGCCTGTGCAGAATGATGATTAGTACGAGTTCTGGATGAGTTAAGGAAGTTGTTAATCATACCGTTCTTGCGTTGGCGGTCCTCGAAGAGCTTCATGGCCTCAAAGGCAGCACCACCGGCAACAATCTCGTGGGACAGCTTGCCCTCATGCTGGCCCTCATAGACGGCGTCACGGTGCTCCTTGGCTTCTCCGAATCCGAACATTTTGAATAATTTGGTGTGGGGTTGGGTAGGTGTATAAAGTCAATTGGTATGTAGTGGTGTACTTGAGCTTGAGAGTGAAGTAGTAGGTTTTCCAAGTCAAAAATGAGGGAGCAGCTTGAGGGGTTCTTATGCCCCTCCAGCAACCAGGTCAAGCTCTCATGTGATCGACAAAGGGCCCATCTAAGCTTGCTCTATTTCGAGAAAAGCCCCTTAACCTTCTTGTGCCCCTGGATTCACACTGCCCGATGACATGATGGAGGGGTCGATCCAGCACCCCTCGACCCTCATCCGTCAATGCTGGCCACGCCTGCCTTTTCTGCCACCTTTCACGGAGGCCGCGTCCCGCCGATTCATGCTCTAGCTCGCGAAGCCATTGGACACAAGTTGGGAAACCGACGGGAGGCCTTAGCTGAAGCATCAAACCCTTGACGCGGCGCGGGGTGGCAGGAGGGGTCTAGTCTAGCTCGATTACCATCGAAACCAGTTCTGACCCAGGAAAGGCACGTCTTCAGAGGCAAGCTATTGGACGAGCCACCGTCTGGCGTCTGGCGTCTGGCGTCTTCTTTGCCGACTTAGCCTTGCCCGACATGGACCTGACGTAAAGCCGTGGATGTGTTTTGGCGGGGTTGCTCGGCACATCGGCAGCGCTTTCGTTCTCGCGGGAGTCGGGGACCTGACGAGTGACGACGGCTTTGTCCGCGTTTCCACGGCCGTGTGTCTTTTGCGGGTTATGATTCGAGGGAGAGCCCCAGGAGGGGGTGTTTAGACTCCTGAGCCCACCTCTCTCGTTCTCTCTCTCTCTTTTCCTCTACTCTTACATTCAAACTCTCGGGTCAAGCAAGAGTAGCCAACGGCTATGACTGAGCAACACAACACTGGACGAACACAGCTAAACAAAGGTTCTAGTCCACAAGCCTCCCTTTGAAGTTTGCTGCCAATCAAGCTAGATTCAAGATTTGAGATGTTGCCCGGAATTCCACGCTTGTAGCCGATTCGGTCAAGCCCCGCCGGCCCGGGGAGTTCGGCATTGGGAGCTGCGTCACTATGTCAGCCACCCCTGCTGGGCTGAACCAGAGACGAAAAAAAAAACAACTGGGGACGCTGCGGCAAGAAAGCTTGACCATCGCGCGGCTAACCGGCAAAGAAGGTCTCCATGCGCCGCCGCCCCCCCTGTGTCTCCCATTGGAGCTACCATAGGGAGTCTTGTTACACAATGATGCCCCCGTCGGGTCTCTCTCTCATCAGGATCGAGCAAGTTTAAGCCAACAGCCTCCAGCTCTTATGCAGCTTCGGCATACACAGCCCACATAACGTTTGATCTTGAAGAAAAGACAGGTCGACCCTGCATAACTTGGAGTGAAGCTGAGGTCCGTGTCCCTCTTCAATGACGTGTCAGGAAGCTTTGTGCAGGGGGTGTCTCAGAGACTCTTCAATCCGATGTACTCTACAAAGAATAGGGGGAAGGGAACCTCGAGAATGAGGGGTAGCTCTCGTAAGGTGGGCGAGAGCTGTTTTTTTTCTCTGAATCGTCCAAGGTCCAAACCAATCCCCCCTCACCGCTTGAATCGACGATTCCAGGCCCTCCTTCATGACAAAGAGCGGACGGAACCTTGACGGGTGCCATCCGGGTCCAAGAAGATAGCTTGAATGGGCTGCCGCTTGCCTGACTGGCTGAGTAGTTGGGTGATTGGTTGGCTGGTGCTGGCATTGTTGTTCCAAGGTTTCGACTTGTGCCTTGGAAACTTGCATCCGCCCGGCAGCAAGCTTAGCCATGCGTGAGGCTTTCGTAGACCGCTGGTCCGCGGCCCTCATGAATCTGCTGATCTTACGAATGCTGCTCCAAAAGAAGCTTACGCATTATGGGTGAACGTGAGACTGTGGTTTCGTCACATTGCTTTTATCCTCTAGACAACCTCACAGCACATCTTATACCAGAGGCTTTGATGAAGAATCGATTCAATGGCCGAGGCCCGCGTGGTAAGGTAGCTGCCAGATCATCGATGGCCCGGCACAAGACGATCACCTTTCTTGGCATAAGCGGGATCATGCATCGACGGAAGCCCCCCGGCTTGGCAAGGGTCCAGATGCCAGGGGTCCTAGTGTCCACCCTTCCCACAGCTAGTGCAGGTAGCTTCATGGCAGCTCTTCCACCAGCTCGCCCTTCTGTGCACAAACGCTGTTCTGCAATGAATGAGGCCTCTTTATCGTGGGAAACGACTGCTCTGTGAGTAGGTTCTGTCACTGAGAGAATATGGGTACTCTTTTGTTAATCCCCCAATGTGAACTTCCATCTTCACACGAGCGTGATGCCGCCACGAGTTGCCTCCAGCTTTGCAAGTCGTGAATTACTCGCTTTTAATGCTAGTCGATGCCATCAAATCTGGCCTGTCTATGATTTACCACCAAACTTGACCAGATACTCCTCGTGCGCCTTCTTCTGGCTCTGCCATTGTTTCTGCAGCTTCTTGAGCTGGCTCTTGGGCACGTCACTGCCGTCCTTAAGCTTAGTTGGCAGCCCCTCCGCGTCCCACTCCGAGTACTTCTCGTCTCCCTTAAACAGCTCCGTGTGGGGAAGCTTCGCCTTCTCCCACTTCTCCTTCTCCGCTTGCTCGCGCGCTCGTTTCGCCTCTTCCTTGGCCCGGGCCTTGTCCGCTTCCCTGGCCAATTTCTCGTTCTTCGCCGCGATCAACTCGCTGGCAGGTACAAACTTGATCAATGACGACTTGCCATCCGGCCTGTCATCCAAGTAAACTCCGAGATTTGTAAGGTCTTCGTCACGAATCCGATCTGTAAGAGACAGGATGGCCTTCTTCGTCTCCGGAGACACCGAGGACACGATACGACGGAGCTCGTCGCGTAGTCTCGAGGTAGCACGCAGATACGGCAGAGCCAATTGCTCAGGATCGCGAACACCCTTATCAGCCAAAGTAGAGTACTCTGCTTCCGGGTTTTGTTGCGACAACAGGGCGGAAACGGAATCGGCCGAAGTCTTCAGCGCCTCCACATCCGACTTCACGGTCTGGAACACCGTCGCGTACGGCTGCACGACAGTCTTGGGGTCAAGCTTTGCGTTAGACGCAGGTGCAGCCCAGCCAAGGCCGTCATAGGGCGCCGTGGCATTCTCGTCGAGACCGAATGTTCCAAGAATCTTTGTGATCCAGCGGGCGACGGCAACGAGCGCGGGCACGTTAGCCTCTGCATCTTGGGAAACAACGACCTTGTTGGCCTCGCTGACAAGTTCCTGAATAACACGCATCGCTTGAGGGGTATCGAAAGAGTTGGTGAGGGCGGTTTGCAGGTCAGCCTTGGCTTTCTCCAGGCTGCTGACAAGTCCTCCGGTGGGCTTCTCTGACAGTGACAGAGATTCGACACCATCGGTAGAAGCGCTGGCATCCGCAACATATGCCTTGACGTTGGTGAAATAGTTCTGCCGAAACGTTAGCTTAAAAGTCATTATTACGATGCGGCTCATAGACTCACGTTGATAGTTGCCTCCCAGCTGGACGCCTGGGCGCGCATGTCGGGGGAAATCTCGACGCCATCGTTCCACTTGCCCATCAGGAACACAATGCGCATTCCTCTGGATGTGTAAGTCGTGGCAAGGGCATCTTGGATAGTCTGGAAGTTCTTCAAGGACTTGGACATCTTTGAACCGGAGATTGACAGGTGACCCATGTGCATGAAGTTGTTGACCCACGTGTGCTCGCCCTTTGTGTTATCGACGTAAAAAGCCTCGCTCTGGGCCAACTCGTTATCGTGGTGAGGGAAAGCCAAATCGATACCGCCGGAGTGAATATCCATCTGGGCTCCGAGAATATCAGAAGCCATGACGGAGCACTCGATGTGCCACCCCGGGCGACCCTGACCCCATCTGCTCTCCCAGTATGGCTCTCCCTTCTTGGACTTCTTCCACAGGGCAAAATCGCCTTCATTGCGCTTTTCGCCCAGGTTCTTCGACAGAGCTCCCTCTCCATCCTCCTGCAGTGACTTGTCGTTGCGGTTGCCGGGTCGCAAACGGGCGTATGTGTTTCCGGCCTTCTCGAAAGCTGTGATATCGAAGTATACGGATCCGTCAGACTCGTATGCGAATCCCTTGTCCACAATGCGCTCGACAAAGCTCGCAATCTGGGGAACGTATTCCGTAACACGCGTAATGACGTCGGGTCGCAGGCAGTTGAGAGCGTCCATATCGTCGAAGAATTCCTTCTCCATGCTCTGGGTCAGGTCGGTAAAGATGGTCTGATCGCTCGTATCAATCGTCTCCTTATAGAGGGAGTCGAGGTATGGCAGAAGAACCTCATCGGTTCCGGGAAAGAACTTCTTGTCCTTGATCGCAAATGCAGCAGCGTCCATGTTCGCGATGTGCATCTTCGTCTTGGCCTCGTCGTCGCCAGGCTTGCCTTCCCCAGTCAGGGTGCCACCTGCAAGAACCTTTCCATATGCGCTATCTCTTCGCTCGAGGTAGTTGTTCTCGTCGAGGTCGGATGATTGGATCAGAGACAAGCTCTTCTCGGCGTATGCACGGAAAGCTGTCAGAGTAAGCTTCGCCAGCTCTTCGTCCGAGTACTTCTTCTGCTTCTCAAGTTCGAGGAGACGTTGTCTTCGGGCCTTGATAATAATCTATGCCACAGGAAATGGTCAATAAAGCCAGATGTGCAAGTGGAAAGCTAGTAAATCAAACCTTGTCGTCAACATCAGTGATGTTCATGACAAACTTCACATCCGCGCCGAAGTAGTGCATCATAATGCGCCGGATGATGTCGGTCGACACATAGTTGCGGGCATGGCCCAAATGACTCTTGTCGTAGACAGTAGGACCGCAAGCATACCAAGACACCTTGCCCGGGTTGATTGGTGTAAATGGCACCGGTTGACCGGGCTTCAAGGAGTTGTGCACCTTCAAAGACTCCATAGTCGCGATGGAGGAACAAGCCCTAGAGAATCGAAAGTTGGGTATCTGAGTGGAGAGAGAAATGGAAATTCTGGTGAGTCTAAAGAGGCGATTCATCCAGAATAAAAGGAGAGAGGCACAAGGAGGGCAGAGTGCATGAGAGTAGGGAGTCACGTCGAGAGGGTCGGGTCAAAGGGTCGAACTGAGAGGGTTGAGTCACTCAATTGGGAAGGGAGGGGACGGCGACTTTGTTGGAGGGAGCAATTAGCCGCCCACCTATCAAAAATGGCCGGTGTGACACCATCGTCAGCCTCGCAGTCAATTGGGGCGCTGTGTCAACATCTGAGTGGTCAAGCTCTCACTCAGCCACAGCTGCCCCGCGCTTAGCCACAGTCAACTTTTCTCCAATCCAGCCTCGCGAAGTTTTTCCTCTACTGCATTACGACCTGCATTGGCAAGGTAGCTTTCCTGCACCACTCCAATTGTCCAGAAAGGCATTCAGGGTCGATCAAGTCTGGCTCATCACTGGCCAGCATGGCGACCGAAATCAAAAAAATGACGAAGCCATCTCCATTCCTTCAGCCTGGCCCCAGGACGTCTGCCAATTCCATCGCTATCGTGCAGCTCTCTCGCGACAACCTCGTTCCTCTCATCCTCAAAGATTCTACCGGTGCGGTCGACGGCTATGCCGAAGGAGCAGTCCTTAACACACGATTCGGCTCATTTCCCCACTCCACCTTGATCAACGTACCATGGGGATCGCAAATTCGTGCCTCGATTGTTGACACTGGCTCCAGAGGCCGCAAGCGCAAGAGGAAGGAAGAGGAAACGAACGCGTCAACACCAGCAGCGGCAGATGAGGCCGAGGCGGAATCCAGCGCACCCGTTAAGAAGGCGGCTGCCGCCGCGAGTGGCTTCGTGCACATTCTTCAGCCTACAGCCGAACTCTGGACCGCGGGCCTGCCGCATCGAACACAAGTCGTCTACACCCCCGACTATAGTTACGTCCTTCAGCGCATACGAGCGAGACCCGGTACCCATGTTATCGAAGCTGGCGCAGGTAGTGGTAGTTTCACTCACGCATCAGCGCGTGCGGTTTACAGCGGATACCCCGAAGATGACTCTCAACGAAAGGGCAAGGTCTTCAGCTTCGAATTCAACAAGGACCGTTATTTGAAGATGCAAGAAGAGATCACTGCGCACGGGCTGGAAGGCATCGTGAAGCTCTCGCATCGAGACGTTTACAACGGCGGGTTCCTGGTGGACGGTAGAAGCCCCGAGGCAGAGTCGGTGTTCCTGGATCTACCCGCTCCCTGGGAGGCCCTCCCCCACCTGTCACGACGAAAGCCAGCGACGAAGGACACAGAAGGCGAGACACAAGAATGGGTTTCCCCACTAAATCCCAAGAAGTCGGTTTACATCTGCACCTTCTCCCCCTGCATCGAGCAAGTACAACGAACGATCAACACAATGAGACAATTGGGATGGGTGGATATTGATATGATTGAGATCTCACACAAGAAGTTCAACGTCATCCGGGATCGTGCTGGGTACAGCCAGCCCGATCGCGGTATCGCGGCGAGCGCACGCGACGTGGGCCAGGCAGTCGGCAAGCTTCGCGAGATTGAGAGAAGAACGAGAGAGTACCACAACTCGGCAGACCCCAACTCGACAGACGACTCACCGGCGGGCAACGCCATGGACGTGGATCAAGCGGGAGAGGGCACGAATGG